AAGTGAATCTGGGATAACATAGTAACTAATGTGTCATATGAAACAAAATATTTCTAATATAATGATTACGCACGTGTGTGTGTCCCGTTTGTATACCAATACCTCCTAACTGAGAATTCAATCCAAAAGTACTTCTTTATTACAATAGACATAAAACTCATATTCGCATAGATTGACTCCACTCCTATCCAATATTTCTTTACCAAACAGTTTCTTGAGCTATGTGAAAATATCTACTAAAGGACAGAATTCATTCATTCGTATATATTTTACAGTTTTATTCTTCTGGTGTAAAATTAGATTCCCAACACTTACGAGGTATTGGTACTTCATCGACTATATATGTATATGTGTGTGCGTGTGTGTGTGTGTGTGTGTGTATTATTATTTCACTCTTAATACATGAAACATTTATATGAAATTCAAACACCCTGTATGTGTGTTTAATATATTACATTTAATACATTCTCCACACTAATTTAACATCCCCCTTTATATTGTATATTCTGCCGCGACTCCGTCCGCGTGGAATAGTCACTTCCGGCAGATTTTTGGTTCTTCCCACATAGTTCGAATCGAATGGTCGAGTTCCCGTAGAATTTGCAGGATAAAACCTATGTTTTCTTTTATTCACAATGAAGTTCTCTTAACCAACAACATATTTATTTGTTTATTTATTGATACAACTTTAACAAATTATTTCGACCAAATTAGGTACCATAAAAACGGTTTTTGTGAGTTGATCTTAAAAGATAGACATATACTGTCGCGGACTGTTTTTAAGATCATTAAAAGAGCTATTATTCTTTCATACATATTTTTTGTGTATCTTGAACCGTTTTCACGTCGCACGCAACCGAATGCTTCAAAGATGAAATAATTTCTCCCGTTTTGTACACATTTACCACTATATCTTTGCTCCTATTGGTCGTAGCGTAATGTTATATAGCGCACAGCCTTTCTCGATAACTGGACTATCCAACACAAAAAGAATTATTCAATTCGAACCAGTAGTTTCGGAGATTAGCGCTTTCAAACAAACAAACAAACAAACAAACAAACAAACAAACAAACAAACTCTTCAGCTTTATAATATTAGTATAGACTAGAAGACCTGGCGAACTTCGTATAACCCTATAATCAAGTAATATCTACTACGTTTTTTTATTTATATTTTTGGAGTTTACCTGTAAGCCATAAATCTCCGTGTTTTGAAGTGCGACAGAATGATGAACATATTAGTTAGTTGTCAAATCTAATGTCAAAAAAAATCAATTGTACGGGAAATAGAAAAGGTCTGTTTTTATGGTTTTCCCAGTAATGAATCAATTTTTTTCAGCTTTTATACCTTCCCTGAACCTCCACGAACATTTCAAGACTAAGATAAGATAAATCCGTTCAGCTGTTCTCGAGTTTTAGCGAGACTAAGGAACAGCAATTCATTTTTATATATAGAAGATATAGAGACTTAGAGACTGCCTTTCCATACATTTATTAATATATATTTTTTGTACTATAATTCTATTTATGATAGTCATACAGAAGGTCTCGGTGTGATTTGCGTAATAACACTACGTTGTATATTAAAAGCAATTCAAATCAAAGTCATAAGTTAATTAAACAGGTTAACAACTAGTTTGCATAATAATGGAACTAGTGACGACTATAAGAAACTATATATATACTAGTTTCTGCCCGCGACTTCGTCCGCGTTAATTTCGATATTAGTAATATATGTATATCTGACCGGGCGAACTATATTCCACCCTAGAGGTAAATAACCAGACATTCGAGTTTATTAAGTATTTTTTCTTTCGATCGAACAGAATTAAATATCCTATGTCCGTCTCCTTGATCGAATCTATCTCTCCACCAAATTTCAGCCAAACCCGTACAGCCGTTCTTGAGTTATAAATAGTGTAACTAACACGACTTTCTTCTATATTTATATATATTTCTACTGTATGTGTGTATGTCACGGAACTCCTAAACTGCTGGACCGACTTATATCATTTTGTATTCACTTGTTTCACCCCAGATGGTTTAGTTTCACAAATCATCCCGGCAGAGTTAGTATGTAGGTTATTTAAAAGGAAGAGGCTACAAAGAACATTACTATGTACTTACTTACGCGGACGGAGTTGAGAGCAAAAACTAGTATTACAAAAAATTATTTTATAGGATATTATGTCGGTCATATACATACTAATAAATAAAATTGTCTGTCTGTTTGTCACTTCCAATTCACAGTACACTATACGCGTATCAAAGTATATATGTTACTAGCATGGAAAATCCTTATTTTCTGTGTGTACATCTGTTTGTTCCGCGTAATCATTAGAACGGTGTAAAGTCCAGGTTCTTCAGGTCCAGACTTCAAAGAGCAGGATATTCTAAATTTCACTAAATGTTTTTGAGCTATTACTGAACCAATTAAAGGATTTTCAAAATTATTTAATTAATGACCAACATGGTATTTTCGTGAGATAGTTCCATTTTCACCAAGTCAGGATCTGATAAAGGGATCTTCGAGAAGAAAATTAATCCTGGACATGTATTTTGGTACGATTTATTAGACAGACAGAATCGAAGGAAACAGCTATGTACATGTACATATACATATATACATATATTATATTTATTTACATACATTATCTGTAGCACGTATGTTCATTTCTTTATTTGTTTAGCCATATCATTTCAAGCTTGCGTTAAAATAATATTGTATTATATTTAAAAAACTTGCCGAAATTACATCAAATAGGTCATTCAACCGTGGATTACGTCACACAATAAATTCAGATATATAAAACTTGTTTCAATTATGGTAAAGGACATATACATATATGTATATATTATTTTAAAATCATTTATTCCTATATTTAAAACCAAAACCCTTAATATATTATGTATATATGAAGGTACATCTGTCTGTGCGTTTTGATGACAAAAAAAAACAATACAAAATTAAACAAAAATCCAATATCCCGATACTAAATAAGAATTATATTAATCAGTAAATATATATAGTGTATATGATAGCGAATTCCCAAAGAGGGTTTATATTAGGCAGGCGGCCAGTCATAAAAATATAGTTAGCCAAAACTATTCACAACATGTAAGGCAGACACTGGCTAAAGCTGGGAAATTGCCAGGTAGAAGATATATGATAGCGAATTATTTACGAACAAACCCGTGTACAAGAGGTAGTAAATAAAATATAATCCCTATAAGAATAATAAAAAAATGTTTTGTACATAAAATTTATTGATATGAGTCCCCATATTTTTATATAATAATATGATTAAAATATTTATATGAAAAAAATAAGTGTCTCTTGACGTTAATCGGAAAGTTTCCCGCTTTTATTAACTTTTTTTAATTATTACGTATTCTTTTTCATTCCAAATAATATCACATTTGACGTAAACACCGCCATATTGTTAACAAGACGATATAAAATATTTACAAATTTTACACAAAACGATGATATATTAAAAATTGGGAAATTTCCAACGAATAACTAATACAAACATATATTTTTTATAAAATTAATAGCTTCTATGAGCCAACGCCGTGGTGTCTAAGACAAAATCGTTTCACCAAAAAACGAGTTTTGTTATTAGAAAGATTCGTAGATAAATAACTTTTGGCGCGAATTGAATTACACAAATATTGAGAGTTATATTTTATGTAGAAAATACCTAATATTTAGTATCGTATATCTTCTTCCTGGCAATTTCGCATCTTTAGCCAGGGTCTGCCTTACATGTGAATAGTTTGGGCTAATTGTTTTTACGACCAGCCGCCTGCCTGACATCAACCCTCTTTGGGAAATTTAATATTGTATTTGTTTTCTAAGAAAAATTTGGAACTACATATATCTACAGTATTGTATATCGAGTTCAACTATCATTATGCGTTATCAATAATCGGATATTCGATAAAGTTTTCCCATGTGCCGAAACGAAAAAAATGTATACCTAAGTTTGAAATTTGTCAAAAAGACATCAAATACAGAAGTTATAATACCTAGTTAGGTATAACTGTACGAAAATATTCCTTAAGCTTTCGTATAGACTATAAAATGGTGAATAAAATTATAATAACACAGTATATTTTTAAATTTCAAATCATATATTTCACGCGAATAGTTTTTTTAAGTCATATATATTATTTCGTACACACGTGCCTATATTGCATTAACTTGGCATACTTTCCATTCAGTTTGTACACAACACGCAAAATTTGCAAATCATCTATCACGCGTTTACATTAAACGTATTTTTATTATTATTTTCATACATTAAAAACACTTTCACGTAAACAAAACCGCTTCTAAAACACATAAAACAAAATAAAACTAAGTTAGAGAGCATTCAACATTCTGGATGATTCGAAATTTGAAATTATAAAAAAAATCTACCAAGAAGTATTACTCATATTGCAACCTCATTTAAATAACAAAACTATACAATATGATGCAGTATTTTAAAATATATTAATTTTATCTTGACACTGCTATCGCTTTAGTAATGAAACATTGCTACATATTCTTAAAAGCAAAACGATTCCAGTTGATTTTCTCGCGTCTGATACAAACGAAGGCGGAAATACAATCGCGTGCCTCTTATGAAATGCTATGTAAAAGGAATGGATGTCACATTCTTCTGACTACAGGTCATGCAAATTCTATCTTATATATCATTACATAACAGCTACAAGGATAAATATAAATCATAAACATCATTTCATGTATACAAAGCAGTAAATAAATAAAATTATTCATCTCAATTCATTGTCACGGTTGAAGCTTGTATTACTAATAGCACAGGTTTCTATAAATGCATCGATGTTTTATTAATCGTTGCCAGTTCATTTACGACGAAACTTTTATAAATTTTATAATAATTCTTAAATCGAAAATGCTGTTATAAGTTATTTATGAAGTGACACTCCTGAACGTACGTGTATAGACAGGTTTGTAGCTTTAAACTTACCTGGTTGGTGAGCACGTCTATTACGACATACGCTAGATAGACAACCTCTTCCTCGTCGGAACCCAGCGCTGCGCCCCCTAGCCCCGCCGTACGGACATTCAACGCGCACACCCAGCCTCCGTTAATCATTTCGCCATGTACTATCCACACTGCACTGACAACACTACGTCCGATTTACTTACGAGTCACTCGCATGCAGCATGCTCTAACCGCTAACGGGATGCCAGGGCCCGAATTCACGTTCAAGTTTGGTCGGAGCGGCTTTAGTTATTTAACCAGTGGCGCGGGCGGCGTTTTACCGCTAGCTGTCTACGTAAGCGGTTACCGTGAGTGAAAATCTGGAATTAACATCACATTCGACCGAACCACGAATCGGTACCCGAAAGTCGAATGTTCTATAAACGGATTTCTTCCGACGGTCACTTTCCCAGTCTGAATACTGATACGCTTGAGGAGTTACAGTCACAGATTTCACTTAGTCCACTGCGTGTCGAGATAAACAACGATTATATTTGTAAATATATATATATGTATATATTAAATTTATATTATTATAAGACACGTTCGTGTCCGTCCGATCGTCGGTGCGACTGCCACTCGCTTGCCCCCCGTTGACACTGCGCAGGTAAACGCCAGGTGAGCGACGCGACGTTGCCAAACCTCGCATTATCATTGATGAGATAGCTGTAGCGTCACGGCGGACTAATCGCGTTGCTCGCTATAAAATGCACAATATAAGTGTTTTCTAACAAAACATTTCATTGCAACACCTCAATGTATGTTGAAATTGCACGGCAAATGATCATAGTCGTGTATTTGTCATAGATTATTTTGTTTGTGAAGGTTTTATCTAGACGCTTAGTTTTGTTCGGAACGTGTAATACATTGCGCCCGGAGTACCATGGCCTTGTTAAGGTTGTGTAGGGAAAGTGGTATTTGACTTTGTTTTGAGTTTTATTATCGTTGTATGTCGTTAAAGTTTATGTGTATATCTATAATTTTAATTTCAACAATTGTAATGTATCTGTTACGCGCCATTATCGTTCGGTTTGTCCAAACGAAGCTTCAAATCGATGAATAAACTTGAATACATGATGTTTACGGGTATTTAATATAAAAAATTAAATTACACTTAGTTACAAAGTCAAAGGAACATGTGTATGTGTTAATACATACGATGCATACATTTCCTACATTATAAAAATGTATATTCATGATTTATATGTTTTTTGTTGAACTCACTTGACATTGACAGATGCTATGTTCAGCTTTTTACTGAAATAATATAATAAAAAGATAAATAAACATACTGTACATTAGCATCTAAAGTGAATTGTAAAAAGATGAAGCTTAAAAATGATTTATAATGATGTACATATTTAAACTAACTAATTACTCAAAACTTAATATATTAAACTTAATCATTTTTTTTTATTATTATAATACGAAATATATTCCGGTGTTTTTAAAAACTTATATATAATTTCGATTTAATTAAATAATTTTATAAGTAATTATATTACTGAACGTGATATAAATATAATTTGAACAGTCAAATAAAGCTTGTAAAATCCGCGCGCGCCGCCCCGCTTGGTCTCGCTTCTGATTGGCTGACGCGTGTGTAAATCCAACATGGACGCCCCCATCTCGCGTTACCAACAATAACATTCCCGACTCTGACCCATTTATAAAGTTGATTAGTTAATTTGAACCACATCATATGATATATAAAGTTTATATTCAATGATGTTAGTTATTCTTTTACTGTTTCTCTGAAATTTAGATTATGTGGTTAAAATAATTAATTACTTTTAATAACTTTGTTAAGCATGCTGCAAATATATTGTACAATAATATAAAATGGCTGCCAATAAATAAAAAAAATCCATTACAATAACAGGAAATTAAAATACTTATATTTTTAAATTATAAAATTGTAAGTATAATTAAAATGTATTAAAAAGTAAAAGGTTAACAATGTGTACTTTTTTAAACCTTTTTTATCTACTACGATATTCTTGTAAATAAATTTGAAGTCCTTAAATTAATACAACAGTTTGGAATATTAACAGTTAAATTGTAAGTAAATAGTGTGTATGCTCTAAGATACACCCTTAGCCTGTCCAAAAGCACGAAATGAGAAAGAAATAATTAAATATTTATAAATCTTCTTCTTTAATTTAACCTTATAGAAATTTCAGAATTATATATAATTATCAATTTATTAAGTACTATTTAATAAAAAAAAATCTTTTCTTTGAAAATTTTTAATTCCTTATTTTATGTATACCCAATATACATATCTATTGACATAAATGACAACCGGTTTTAAAAAATATATCTTTACCGTGTCAGAAGTGTTGCTATTAAAAATATATATAAAAATATATTTTTATTAACAGATAAACGTTAATCGCACGTCATTAAGATTATTGATTGTCTATGGACGTCCATAAAAATATTCACACTTTTGGCACATAGCTATTAAATGCACGAAGGTGTTGAATTTATAAACCTATCATACATACATGAAAACTATTTCTTATAAGTAAAAGTCAGCGAAGATGTTTTGGTTCATTGAAATAAACAGATTATAATTCTGGCGCCAAAAGGATTTTTGTATTTGGAAAGAAAAAGAGACGTAAATTTAAAAAAAAAAAACGAAAAAAGCCATAGATACGTAATCGACGCAAACTATTAAGTAATTAACTCTCAAATACACTTGTAAAGCCTGTATATGACATTAAAATCATTACATTTACAAAACATTAATTTTTAATACTATTTTTCCTTATAATTAAGGTGGCCATCATATATATTTTGGCATGTAAGAACATCGTCTGTATATCACAATGAATAGGTTAGTTTTTTTATTATGGCCTTCATTAGTATATTCAGCCAGTGTCGCGAATGTAGACGCGATCCGGGCTTATAAAAAAAATTAATAACCCGCGATCCGGGATTTATTTAATAAAATTTAAACTTTAAGTAAATTAAAATCACAATACATAATTAATTTGTATTATAACCGAATGTTGTTTATAACGTCATCGATGCGTGACGCGACCGGTCTGTTCACGGCTCAAGTTACTTACAATACTTCAACGGGCACTTGTCTTATAATGAACAATCATTATGTGAATTATTATTAAACTTAACCTTACTCAAAATTATCTGACTTATGTTTGAATGTCGAAATTCATGCACATACGAATAAGTAAGGAGGTAATTAATGAAGAGGTTTAATATTATTTTGCTTTTTTTTAAATGGATATTTTGAGCTAGTTTTATTCAAAGTTTGTAACGCATCCGTAATTTAAAATATACTTTCGTGGCTACATGACATTACTATCCATAAATTAAGATGTTATTGGTATATAAAACTTTTACGTAAATGAAAACTTATATATAATAATTCGATTTTGGTTTTTAGAATGGAAAGTTTAGTTTAAAAATGGTCATAATGACGGGGAATCAATAGCTTGTATGTATTAAATCAATAGCTTAAATATTTAATACATAAACTTATTACAATACAATTATTCTGATCATAGATAAATTTAGAGAGATAAAAATGATTCATTAAATCCCTGACCAGAGGACAGAAATAGTAATAAACAATTATTTAAATTAACTTTACCAGGTAGCTGTAATGAGATAGATTAAAAATGCTTCAATGTGGTAAGATTCTCTTTTATATATAAAATCCCCAAAAATATTTTTTCCTCCACATAATCCTAGCATAAAATACTACGAAGTATACAACTTCAGCAATCTCCTAGTCTATGGATTAATTAGATCTATGGAATGGAAAAATACTGATCAAAAAAACATAAAAACAAATCAAATCTAACCGATCAAGTTTATGTAACATACAGTTGAACCTAAGCTTATAATTTTATAAGATTTCCAGTATGCCTTTTTTTCTTAACTCCGACCTTGAGATATATTACGATTTACGATGTGCTCGTAATATGTTCTAGAAATTCTTGGGGCACCCAGTAGCCAGTTACTTCAGACTCATAATTTAATATTCAGACCTATAATTAAACCTATTTTAAGACAACTATATTAACTGCATTCATATAAATTAAAACAACATCTAATATATCCATTTATTTTATTTATTTATGAACCAAAAAGGTAAGGATTTAGAATGAAGTATTTTAATTTTTTATCATATTTTCAATATCGGCTCTAAAATATCGATGTACGATTCTTTGTTAAAAAAACAGAATACTTTGTAAACGTTGTACTGATTGGTCGATTTTAATTGTACTTTGGACGAAAGTTCTGACCTTGATTAGCAATTATGTTACACTTACAAATAAACATTAATATGTGTACCTATTCGACCTTTTTAGTAATATATATTTATTTAGGATTTTTCTTGTAACTGTTGTCTCAACTTATTAAAAAAAACTGATCTTATGACTTTAATATTGCAAATTTAAATATTTTCATTGTCATTAATGCATTCTTTTTACTTTCTATGTATATTTCATACTTATTAGCATATTTATTTCCAATGTTTTCATTGGCTTTTTTTGCTTTATAGTCTGCCTGGACTTAGAAATTTGGTTAAAAAAATAGTGTTCAAAAATAAAGAAATGGTAAGCGACTAGCAACGCCATCTATTGTTCATGTCACGTAATTTCACACATACTACATTCTCATGCGACGATGCTGAGTGAACTTCAAGGAAATTTTGGATAAATTGTAACCTATGTTTTATATTGGTGTCTATGCTTCACCAGTTGAAAGTTCCTCAATATTTATACATAAATTTTTGTGACAGTGAATAACTAAGTTAACTATTTATAATATCAGTAATTTTGCTTTTGCTAATAAAACACTTCCAGTAACTTATAATTTGTATCTATATAAGACCTTCAACGCTTTTATTTATCTTCCATTTTAATCTTAACAGAATTATATCAGCCTTAAATCTTATAAGCGTATTTTAGTAAATTCAATTGAAATCATATTTATTAGATTATAATGCACTTACAAATTAAATAATAGATTATTAGGTTATCTAGAATCTTCATATTTTATTTCACCAGAAGTTTTTAAAGTGTGATTGTATTGTGCTTGTAACTCATTGAGTCAACTATGACAGGTTCCTT